GGCGTGGTGCGGCGGCTGAGCACGCCCACGTGGAAGCCCTCCTTCAGGTCCTGCTGGAAGAAGTCGTGCACCTGCAGGAAGCCGGCATCCCGCTCGGGGCTGTAGCTGGCGGCCGTGCTCACCTTCAGGGGCTCCCTGGACAGCGTGTACATGGACAGCTCGCCCATGGGGATGGCTCCGGTGATCTTCAGGCCCACGGGAGACGCGTCCCTGGAGGGCGAGGCCTCCGTGGACCTGGAGCTGGACCCCGAGCGCCGTCGCCGGTACCTGTAGCTCGGCATCCTGGCGTAAGGGGAGGAGGAAGAGGCCTTAAGGAATTCCCGTTTGGTCTTAAACCTCAACTCTTTATTTCTCTCAATGTAAATGTTTACAGCCAGGACGCCCACGGTCTCGGCCACAATGAAAGACAGGGCTCCAAAGTAAAAAGACCAGCCGTAGTTGTAATGGTTCTTTTTGTCTTCGTCACGCTTGTCACTTGGGTCGCCCGTGTTGCTGGAAATGTAGACGATGATGCCTATGATGTTGCTGAGGCCTGAAAGGGAAGCGGGGAGAGAGGCCGGGGAGGGAGAGAGGCAGGGGTTAGACCTGCGGCTGCACTGATGGGACAGGGAGCAGGTGGCTCCTTGAAGAGCATTTCTTTATCCTGGTTGCTAACTTTTCTTTTAAGTAATTAATTTCGAATGGGCCACATAAAGTTGCAATGAGGTACACAGTAAAACAGTCTTAGCAGCCCAGTTCCCCTCCTGAAGGCAGCTGCTATTACCTTCTTCGTCATGTCCTACCAGAGAGAATCTCCCTAACATACACACAAAACTATTTTCTTCTTTGCTCAATACTCTTTGGCCCTTGGTTTCTCATTTAACAGTGCATCCGAGAGACGGCTCCCTACTGGGACCTGAAGAGATGCCCCCGTCGTTCTAACAGCCTCGTGCACACACGTAAATGCAACCGTGGCACAAATTCCTTACAGTGAAAACTGCCGAGTCACTGGGCACGTGCACTGAAAAACCTAAACATTTATTTTGGAAATAATTTTTTCACTTACTGAAGTTGCCAAGACAGTCCAGAGAGTTCCCACACTCCTCACCCAGTCCCCCGGTTTCCCTGGATACTGACATCTTTCGTTACCATGGAACGTTTGTCACGACTCAGAAGCCAACCTAGTAAATGACTATTAACAAAACTCCAGACTTTGCTTGGATTTCACCAGCTTTTTCACGAATGGCCTTTTCCTGTCCCTGGATCCATTCAGGACATCATGTTGTGTTTCGTGTTTTAAATTTGGAGTCACCGCCCAAGGGCACTCCATAGAAGTACAAACTGTCCCAACAGCCTCTAATGAGTATTATCGAACTTCTGGATCTTTGCCAGTCTGGGAGGTGAAACTGGCCCCTCATTGCTGTGTTCATGGGAGTCTCTCTGCTAACAAGTGAGGCTGAGCAGAGCCGAGCTGCCTGGGTCTGAGTTCCAGCTCTACCACCAGTGTGTAACTGCGCAAATCACTCACGCTCCCCGTGCCTTGGTATCCTCACGTGTAATAGTGAGAAAAACAGGGCTGATGTGAGGATTAAGTGAGCTAATCCATATAAAACACTTACAACAGGGCCTGGCACACGTGAGCCTGCTCTACGTTCTGTGATGACCCACTGGGTTTTGCTGAAAGATGACACATTGTACTGTCTATGCACGGTTCATGTGCTTTGTCCATTTCCTGCTGCACTGATCCCAGCATGGAAAGGTTAGAATACCTTCTGCCGAGGGGACAGCGATCCTGCCTGGAGCAAGTCGGTCTGGGTTTTGAGTCCTTGTCTGTTCCGTAAGAACCCTCAGCGACATGGATTTTCACCCTCTCAGGGCTCTCCCTTTCTGCCCTCCTCTGTTTCCCTAGCTCTGTCTTCCTTCCCCACCCTGTAGTCAGCACGAGTCACAGGAATGCACCTTAAACCACAACCCATTCCAGTCCCCAGAGAAGTTACTGCATCTTCTTCCGACTCTGCCAGCTTCCGATCTGACCTCTGCTGTGGCGCCTGCCACCTTCCTCCTCGGGTTCTCCATGGGCCTGTCTCCCCTCCCTGCTAGGACTAGAATGGTCTGGAGCCAGGCTCTACACACGCGCTGAGCTCGGCCCATGGTCAAAGCTCCAGGAGCCGGGGAATAAACCAGCGTCCCTCGGCTGCCTGCCCATTGCCTCCTTCTTACCAGCCTCGTCCGTCTCCTCTCTGGCTGGGCTCTCTGGTGACATGGAGCACCTGGACCTGCCTTTGAAATGTCTCTTCCTGGGGGCACAGGCAGCTGCAGGGGGCAGCTTGTGGTGGTTTGGAGGTTGACAGCCCTGGGCATAGCTGATGTCTTTCCCACTGTGTGACTTCAGGGAGGCCACCTGAGCCTCCTGGCACTGTGGCTAGCACTTAGTATGTGGTGGCTAGTGGTAGTGCAGGTCTGCTCTCCCTGCCTTGGGGAAGGAAGCTCCAGGATAGTCTGCAAAGGTCACAGCAGGGACCTCCTTAATGGTTGACACCTAGTGAAATCTGACTGCTTAAAGGACCCTGGTGGGGGCATGGGATGTGTCCCTCCTCTCACCGCTGCCCCTGCTCTGGGCTGAAGTGAAGAGAAGGGACAGGAAGGAGAAAGAAGGGAAGGACACGAGGATGTGGCCAGGAGGTAGGTCCATGCGTCTTCCTAGGAAACCCTTAACACAGGCTCCCTGTCCCAACACACACACAGGTGCACAGGCACACACACGCATCCTGCACACACACACACACACACACTGCACTGGGAGAAAATGAAAGCCAAGGGAGCAGAAGAAAGCACAAGACGCAGAGCCAGTCCCTTCTTTACTATGACCCTCGGTTCCACGATGTGAACAGAAGTCACCTTCCTTCTCCATAAGAAGTCATGAGGGGAACACAAGGTGGGGGTGAGGATGGGGACCTGCGTGGGCCAAGCAGGGTGCTAGGCCTGTCCTGTCCTCAGCAAAGTGGGAACAGCCACCAGCAGTACCGGTACCACCATGATCACCACCACTGGTGCCACTGGACCTTTTAGGATGTGGAGGCCTGGGCTGGAGAGTCTAGAGTAAGATAAAAAGATGTTTTGAGGGCCGACCCCGTGGCGCACTCAGGAGAGTGTGGCGCTGGGAGCGCAGCAGCGCTCCCGCCGCAGGTTCGGATCCTATATAGGGATGACCGGTGCGCTCACTGGCTGAGCGCGGTGCGGCCGGTCTCAAAAAGGACAAAAAAAAAAAAAAAAAGATGCTTTGAAAGCAAACTCACTGTTAGGACGGTGCAGAGAGCTACAATAAGAATTTAGGAAAGAATTATATGCACTTAGTGTCTGGAATGAGGCCTAAGAAGCCAGGCAGCTCCTTCTGTCCCTCAGGGACCCCTGCGGCACCTTTATCTGAGCTCCATGGGGGCTGCCAGGCACCTGGAGGGTGCTGCCACCCGAGCACTGACCCTGCAGGAGTTAGACAAGAGCTCTGACCTGGGTGCCCCGCCACACTCCCCCAGCAGCCGGGACCCCCGCTGGACTACGCTCTAACCGGCCACGAACCAGCTGGGAGACCCACTTGCGGCCGTGGTCTCTGCCATGCCTGCAGTGGCAAGGCGCACATCTAGTTGTCTCTACTGAGGCTCAGAGGAGCTGATGGTGTTCAACCCCTGGGATCTGTCAGGCAGGGGGTCTGTTGCTGTCACCCACACCTCTGTGGCAGCGCTTTCTGGAGCTGGGGGCGTGGCTCTGAGCATTGCCACTCTGCTCGCAGCCAGGGGGGTCATGATGCAGGGCTGCCGGCCTCTGCCCGGGGAAACCAGGTTCCTGTCACAGGCTTGTAAAGCACCCAGCACCCCCTCCCCACCCTTTGTGGTGCTTTGCACACCTGGACTTTGTTGTTGTTTTGGTGAAGGTACAATTCACACAACATAAAATGAACCACTTTGAAATGTGCCCCTCAGTGGCATTTGCACACTCACGATGTTGTACGACCACCTCCTCTGTCTAGTTCCAAAATATTTCCCTCTCCCCGAAATGAAACCCTGTTAAGCAGCTGCTCCCCACTCCTCCCACCCCCCAGCCCCTGAAACCCTGGAGTTTTAATTACTCATGGCGATTGTATGGTCCGCCCTCCTACCAGGATGCATGCTCCCTGGCAGTGGGGACCACGTGACTACACACACCACCGTGTCCCCGTGCGCTGGCACCACTGGGGCAGCATCGATGGGTGGCTCACCTGCAGCCACAAAGAGGATGCCGGCACTGAGCACGATGTTGTTCTTGCGGCTGTAGATCCTCCCTGCGCCAATGCAGAGCCCTCCCAGCAGGAGCAGGATGGTGCTGAGGATGGGGAAGACACTGGAGGCTCGCACGATGCCTGGGCCAGGCAGGGGACAAAGCAGAGCAGACAGTGAGACCAGCCGCCCTCCCAGCCATGGCCACAGACACCTCCCAGGAGCCCTGCAGCTCAGAACCTTCCTCCAGGACTTGAAGATCCCCATCAGGACCTGGAGAGGCCTTGAGTCACATCTGCTTGCATCTCGCTTAGCCTCTCCCTGGGTGTGGGTCACACTTCAGAAGGGAGCAGAGTCCTTCAGTGGCTCTGGGGAGGCCACAGTCACAGCCATGAAAACACAGGCCTGCATCACATTTGGACACCTCATGGCCTGCTAAGCCCCTTCATGGATGCGGTCTCCATGACACCTCCAGAAGACAGCCCTGATCAGTGGCTGAGGGCACAGGCTTTGGCATTAGGTGGGTGTGAGTGTGGGCCCTGCTCTGTGACATGCTGGCTGTGTGGCCTTGGTCAAGTCCTTTGTCTCCCTAAGACGCAGTATCCCCATCTGCAGAATGAGGCTCATCATAGAACCAACATCCTGTGATTGGTTTTGTTCATACAAGGTGCTTAGCACAGGGCCTGGCCATCGTGTGTGCTTCCTAAGTGACATTCTTTATATTCATCATCACCATCATCACCATGACCCCAGGCAACAGATGAGGACGCAGAAGCTCATGACTTGCCTGAGGTCACAGAGGAGGTGGCGGCTGGGTGGAGCAGGATGCCTGTGGACCATGAGGTCCAACAGAACCACCTCTGTACCCTTGTTCTGCCACTGACTGGCAGGGTGACCACCTCAGTCCCTTCTTTTACAGCCCAGGGATAGCAGTAATACCTACTGCAGGGAGTTGAATTGTGGGGCCCTCCCCAAAGAAATGTCCGTGTACTAATTCCTAGGACCTGTGCATGTGATCTCACTTGGGAAAAGGGTCTTTGCAGATGTGATTAAGGATCTCAGGATGAGATCATCCTGGTGGGCCCTAAATCTAATGACAAGTGTCCTTAGAACAGGAGGAGACACACCAAGGAGGAGGACATGTGAGGACAGAGGCAGAGACTGCAGCAATGCTGCCACAAGCCAAGGAGTGCTGACAGCCACCAGAGCTGCAAGAGGCAAGAGAAGGCCCTCCCTGTAGCTTTTGGAGGGGCAGGGTCCCACCAACACTTGATCTTGGACTTCTGGCCTCCGCACTGTGAGAGAGTAAACTTCTGTTGTTTTAAGCCACCCGGTTTGTGATAAACTGTTACGGCAGCCCTAGGAAACAAATGCACCACCCCACAGAGTTGTTGCAAGAAAACATAAAGCACATAGTAGGGGCTTAGGGTCCCTCTCCTTCAGCGTCTGGGGCAGCAGGAAGGTCAGAAGAAAGGATGGGGTCATGAGGAGAGGCCTAGAGCTTGGCCTTCCCAACGTGCCTGCGGGTCTCCCAGGCCAGTAGAAATCCCAGCTGTGTGGACCTTTGGTGGCCCCAGCAGGGGACAGCGAGTCAGGGAGCACTGGCAGGCACCAGCCTCCTGAGCAAGCTGAGCTGGTTTCGGGCCTTTCAGCCTCTGAAGGCGGCATTTGTCTCCTTTTTTGTAAACCCACCAGTGTGTGTCTCTTGCTTCACAGAGAGGGGATTGTTTGGGGACATGAAATGAAGTTCCTCTCTCTGGCACCTCCTCCTTCCCAATTCCTGTTTTCTTGCAGCCGCAGGCTCTGGGAGGAGGTTTCCTGTGTGCTTCTGAAATGTGCCTCTGAGCTGCTCTGGCCAGAAGAGTCAGGATCAGGACCGCCCCCCATCCTTTCCTCAAATGCCCTCGTTCTGCAAATGAGTCAGAGGGGCCAGAAAGAAGGGAGCCCAGTTCCTCTAAAGTCACCTGGGGCCCGGACCTGGCTCAGCCATCCATCCTGCCCGGGTAAGTCATGCGAGCACCTGTCCCCTTGCCACACAGACTCATTCCTGAGCTCTGATGTGCAGATGACAGCAGGGGTTGCCAAGGACAGTGATACAGGTTGGGCCACTCACAGGGCAGGTGGCTGAGGGATGAGCACAACTGAATTCCAGCTCCTATCTTGTTGGCCACACCAAGCCCTGGCACAGATCTGCATCTGCCTGGGGGACAGACACCTCCTGCTAACTCACCCTCAGGCACACTGTGGATTCCCAGCAGCCCTGACACCAGCACTCTGTGGCTTTGCACAGAAATGATCCACCTGGCCCGGGGCAAATTGGGCGGGAATCTCTGGGCCCAGCAGGGCCATGGAAGAGACGGCAAGCAGGGTGTGGGCAGTGACCCTTGCACATCTTGGGCTGTGGATCTGCAAACCAGCAGGGGCATCACAGGAGCTCACAGGCCTTCCGGAGGCTCTGCCACAGTGATCTAACTCAGAATATGAACCCAGCTTCTGAGAACGCATGGCTGGGGGTTGACTTCCTTCCTGAACTGTCGAAGGCTGGGTGTGAGCAGCATTCCTCGGACCTGCTCCACGCTGGATGGCTGAGCTGCCCTGAAGACTCCCTTGCAGGCAGCCCCACCATGGAACCTTCTGCTACCTTCTCCAAAATACCTGTTCTCCACCAGAATGTTGGCACCAGAAGGGCAGGCTGTTTTGTTCCCTGCTGTATCCTATGTGCCTAATACAATGGCCGGCACCTAGCAAACCACAGTAACATTTTGTTAAATGAGGGAATAAATGAATTTTCAGGAACCCTCACCTCCTGCAAACATCAGTCCCGGAGACCTTGCTCCTGTGCTTCTACTTATTTTGGGATCAGTAGTCTGGACAGAGACCAGAAGACTAAATATTGGGAATCAGGATGGCCTGGGAAATGGACTGGATGGTCGTGGTGACTGTGACCTTGGCTCGTCCCTGAAAATTGATCACTCCCTCTGGCTCTAAGCTCACAGGCACCTGCACTCTGGAGGTAAAGGATGATCAAAGACACATGCAGAGCTTGGTTTTCAGGGCCAAATATCCCTGTTTCTGCAGCCACTGAGCGGAAAAACACCTCCCTGTTGGGAAGTCAGCTCTGTCCCCGCACCCCCCAACACATTAGCAGGTGGAGATCACAAACCCGAAAGCCGTCGTCAGCCCCTCTCTTCCATGGGCGTCTCTAGGCTTGTTAATAAACCTGGCAGGTCTCCCCACCGCGTACGCTTAAGGAGAACACGTCCTTCCCAAATGAGCTTTAATTGCTGCTGTGCTGTCACCATCGCTTCATCTGGGAAAGTCACTCTGAGGCCCTCCTTGCCCTGGCGCCCTCCCCCGGGGCCCTGCCGGTGGAGTTCGAGGACCCGCAGCAGCAGGGCTGAAGCCGGCTGGACACATTCTTTGTTTGCTGCTCTAGACCCCTGTTGCACCTTCTCCATCCTGCCCTGGGCCCTGGGAGACTGTGTGGACTGGATCCTCGGGCTCCCTGACTCTGGCTGTTGGAGCAGGGTGTCGGCGAGGGAGTTATTCCCCTGGCTTCCTTCCTGCAGGCTGTGGGGCAAGGACGCTGCATTCCTTCGTAAGGGCCGCAGCTTCTGCCAGGCGGCCCTGTCCTTACAGCTCCCCTTGTCCAGGTCCCCTCACCTGCTTCCCCCACCTGTTCCAGCCCAGCAGTGTAAGGGCCCCGGTGCTCACCAGACCTTGTAGGTTTCCCCTAACTCTGTCCACACCTCGGAGAAATGGGCCTTTCTTAAACACCCTTCATTCCCTCCCGTCTGAGCGTAATATCTGCTTCCTGCCAGGACCTCAGGAAGCCACATGGGCTGGGTTGATGCATCATGAGGCCAACCCAGAAAGAGATCTCAGAGTTCTTGGACCATGAGTGGGACAGGGACGGGAAAGTAGAGAACAGCCAGCACCAATGACCGAAACCTCAGGCGAGTTCAAGCGGGAAATTCGGAGGGAATGGTTTGTCTTTCCAGGACCTTCCTCCTCACAGTCCCAAGACTGGGCAATGGGACAAATCTGCTCTCAGAGCCTGAAGAACCACCTGAATGCCCTGGGTTGGGCAGAGAAGGGCAGATTCTGAGTTAGGGTTGATTTTCAATTGAGCCATCCCAGCTGGGCTGACATCAAGGGCCACTGTAGATGGCTGTGCAGGCCATGCACTGCAAAACTCGAGGGATGTCATTCATACCATAATCTATGCAAGTGACATCCATCAAGTTGTGCACTGTGCAACCTGCACAACTATCCAGGGCAGCCCCATGGGAATCTCCTTGCTTGTTTCACTGTGGGCCCCCTGTGACCAGAATCAGAGGACAGGCAGGAGGAGGAGGGGGAGGCAAAGAAGGAGGGATGGGAGGCAGAGCTCTGGCCAAATTATTTCAGGTTCTGGGCCTGGTCAGGGCAGCCTGACACTGCCCCAGGCTCCAAGAGAACTGCACGCTATTCTATTTCTCCAGATAACTCTGAATCAAAATCCTTTCCCTTAGAGAAAACGATCCATAAGCAGGTGCAGAGTGAATTGTGTTTCCTCCAAGGGTGTTCATATCGATTCTCCCTAAATGAGGCTGGGCCTGAGCTCTAGGTGTGCTGCTGTGAGCAACTCTTCGTGTGTCTTGGCTAACACGAAAGGGGAAAATGACTTCAAAATGGTGCTGTTTTTTCCATTTCCAGGCTCCTCCCTGGCTGTGGCTTCCTCTTTCCTCCCAGGGAGGTACTCCCAGGATCAGGGATGAGATCTGGGTTCAGAGCATGGGACTGGGTTTGTCCTTTGAGGATCTGCATGTGCTGCGACTTCAGGGCTCCAGCTGGGGGCCCTGCTCAGCCACAGGACCCAGGCTGGGGCAGGGGCCCAAGGGCAGCCCATGGTTAAAGGCGGTAGCTCCAGCAGTTGGTACTGAAAAGACTTAAGGCCCACGTATCAAAGGCTGCCCCTAGCACCCTCTTAGTCTTCTCCCTTAGGCTGCCCACACCCCATGAGGCTATCTCAGAGTGTGACGATCTGATTTTTCAAAAATAGAATGCTGGGGAGTGTGCAGGGGAGGGGTGGGCAGGTGCAGCCCTGGCAGGGCAATGTGCTTGGGGGCTGCACTCCTCAGGGATGCTCAGCCTGGGCAGAGCCCACATCTTTCACCTCCCTTACCCCAGCCTCAGCTCCAGCCAATCAGCTCCTCTGAAACTAGGCACGCCCGGCAGCCCCAGGGAGCTGAGGAGGCCACTCCCAGCATCCTCTCTGCTCTGGCCTTAGTCTCCCCAGGGCATGGCCTATCAGCCAAGTAACTCCACTGGGACACCCAGCGTGTCAGGGCAGCGGTGAACAAAACTCCACTTTCTGAACTCACAGTTTCTGAATCACAAAGGGAGTGGCCAGAGCATCCAGAGAGAAGCAGCCCCTCCACCCCCGCAGGGTCCATCTTGCCTCTAGTCGCCCAGGACCACCCGCTCCCACTCCACGCGCAAAGGAAGCAGAGGATTCTCGACACTCACGAAGGAGATACTCGGAGCTGTCGTGGTCGTAATCATTGTCCTCTGGGAAGTGATTGATCCGGAAGCAGTGCCCTTTATAGATGCCTGGAGGGAAAAAGGAGAAAGGACCGTTGTAAATGTTCTATGGGTTCACGCATCCATTCATTCCAGACACCACGTGTGTGAAAGGCTCCGTGCAGGCCCTGGGGACAGAGGAAGAAGAAAGGCTGGCTCCAGCGTCCCCAGCCTGCTGGGGGCGTGGACACATGCACAGAGAACACCGCACAGTGAGACAAGTGCCCCAAAGACGACCGTATCATTTACGGCCCAAGTCTGCACACCTGTGAGAGTGAAAGGACACACCATTTCTAACTCTGCTGGGACAAGAGGAGCTGAGCAGAACTGCTTTGGGCAAGCAAGATGGAGGATGTCCCCACCCAAGGGAACTCTAAAGGCACCTCTTGAAAAATGACAAAGAATTTGCCAGGCAGAGGAGTGAGTCGTGCAAAGGCAAGGGTGGGGGTGGGGTCTGCCTGTCTGTGTCTTTCCCCCTCTCTCAAACACACAGTTACACAAATCCCTCCTAAGAGACATGCCTCAGCTGTGCACAGTTGCAAGTTCCAATCCCCTCACTCAAAGTGATTGGAGGAAGAGAACGGGGGGCAAGAAAAACTTCCAGAAGGACTGAGGCCATCTCCTGTCCTTCCTTCCAGAATCTTCCATCCAGCTATCCCAATCCTCTGCTCCCCTGCAGTCTGGAAATGCCCACTACAGAACTAGACGCCAGTGGAGAGGGGGATGCACAGGGTGTCACTGTCATGCCCTGCCTGTGCCAGCCTCCCCACTCCTGCAGCCAACAAGAGCCATCTCATCCTGACACCCCTATGTGGCCCCCATGTTTCCAACTGGGGCCAATTCTTTCTCCGCAGGTGCTGCCAAGTGTCCCGCTGGCCTCCAGCAGCTCAGCCTGACTTCATGGTCGGTGGGAAGCAGAGTCTTGCAAGCAGGGGCTGTGCCAGACACACATCCATCTCTTGGTACTTCCAAATGGGAGGGTCCCTGATAAGCGGGAGAACACTGCTCTTCCCCCAGTCACCAGGGAGCTGGTGGCCAGCTGCCCCTCCGCTCTGCTGGGACCCTTCAGCCGCTCCCTCCAAAGAGCTGGGGTGTTCAGGAACAGCCCTGCTTCCTGTAGCCCCACGGGCCTCAGGGGCCAGTGGCAGGAGGGCAGGGCTTGGTCAGGGATGGTGGGGTGACCGAGCAAGGGGCTCAGAGGTAGGATATGCTTCCACGATGTTCTCTATGCAGGTCTAGCATGGGCAACACAGTAAACCCCTCAGTCTCTTCATCTGTAGAGTGGGCATAACCACAGCCCTCCTCTCCCAGGGCTCATAGGAGAACTACATGAGACAGCCCTTGAAAGGCACTTAGAGTGATTCCTGGCCCACGGTGACGGCTCAGGGCAGGGTCGCTGCTACTGGACCCAGAAATCGCCCCTCTCTCCTTGACGTGTCCTTGCTCTTTTGGGAGTGGCTGAGTCGGTGGAGAACCACAGGGCTTGAGGGTTTGTGAGCAAGAGGAAAGAGGACGGGGGCAGGCTGGTCGCAGGGTGGCTGGTGAGGGCGGGGGGCACAGAGGCTCACTCCTGGCCCCAGAGTCACGTTGTCATGGAGATCTGGAATAAGCATCTTCCCAGATGTGCATGGGCTAGGGGGAGCACTCTGCCCTCCCTCCCTACACCTTTTTTTTTTTTTCTTTTCCCATTTTATGGGTTGAAACAAAATCACCAAGTCACACTTACTTGTTGAAAAAAGTCCAATAATAAGAGGTTGAAAAAGAAAAAGTAAATACTCTCTTTTCAAATTCGTTCTTCAGAGGAAGACTGTTAACGTTTGCTGTGTACCTTCTCACATCTTCGTGTACATACATACATGTGGGGTTACCCCGCCCCTATTTTTGAAATTAAATTTTATCTTGAGATAAATGTAGATTTACATGCAGTTATAAGAAATAATACTGAAACATCCAAGTACCCCTTACTCAGTTCGCCCCAATGGTAACATCTGGCAAAACTATATAGTACAATGTCATGGCCAGGACACTGACATTAATACAGTAAAGAAACAGAACATGCCACCCCCACAAGGAATCCTCTTATTGGCCCTTTGTAGCCACGCCCACCTCCCTCCTGCCCCACCCCCTCCTTGACCCAAGGCAGCCACTAATACGTTCTCCATTTCTACAGTTTTGTCATTTCAAGAATGCTCGACAAATGGAATCATACAGCGTGTAACCTTTGGGGACTGGCTGTTTTCACTCAGCATAATTCTCTCGAGATTCATCTGAGCTGTCGTGTCAATGATTTGTTCCATTTTATTGCTGAGCAGCATTGCATGGCATTGTTTGTTTAATCAGTCACCCACTGAAGGACCCCTGTTGTTTCCAGCTATTACTAATAACGCTGCTTCAAGCATTCATGTACAGGTTTTGGGGTGAACATACGTTTTCATTTCTCTGGGATAAATACCCAGGAGTGCAATTGCTGGGTCATATGATAGCTGCATGTTTAATTTTATAAGGGACTGCCAAACTGGTTTCCAGAATGGCTGTCTACCCTCTATTTTTAAAATGGAATTCCACTATACGCTTTACTCTGCAATCTGCTTTTTTCATTCAACAATATTTACAAACATCTCTCCAGGTTAATACCTATAGATTTAACTAGAAAGAAAATGGGAGTTTATTTTTTAATTAAAAAAATAAGTTGATATCAATCCAAAAGTTGCTGAAGACCCTAAAAGGACATAACACAGGGACTAGAGGAATATAAAACTTTCTTCAACACTGAAAATGCGAAAAGAAAAATGTGCTGTGGCAGAAATGATAAAATTATGCATTTATATATTCCACCTGAAAACAAAATCCAGTTTTGGGAACATCACCTTGCATACAGAAATGTTTGCTCCAAACGCCCCTCTAATATATTTTGCTAACCTCCACTCTACATTTAAAATGTTATTTTATATTTGATAGAAATTGTAAATAGAAACCACATGGTCCAATGTATTAACTCATTTTTAAACACATTCTTTATAGTGGCTGCATAACTGTCCGTACTCACGGATGTATCAATGCAATTCTGCCATAAAAATGGGCATTGCCTTTCTTGGGGCTGTGCCGCACACTGTGGGTGCCACCAAGGGAATTATGCTCAAAGACAGATTGAACGCTGGCAGTCTGCAGTAGCTCTGCCACTCATCGGCTCCCTTTCCTCCCTTCCTTCCCCCGTACACACTGAGGTCTTCTGGACAGAGTGAGGAATGGGCATTGTAGGGGGCTGAATTGTGTCCCCCCAAAAGACACATTGAAATCTTGATCCCGGCTATCTTATTCGGAAACAGGGTCTTGCAGATGTAATGAAGTTAAAATGAGGTCAGACCAGATGAGGGTGGGCTTCCCCTTGCCAGACCTTATGAACAGGCAGGAAGCCGGACCTCACCGCATCAACCTCACCCCCACCCAGTCAAAAGAAGGGGTGGGGTTGTGGGGGAGAAGGTCTCGAGTTGTCTTTGGCCTCATGGAGAGTGAAAGAGATACCTTCCTGCCTCTAGAGCCANGGGCCACTTTTGCTAAAGGCATTTGTATGGGCAGAGGAAACATGTGGAAAGAAATATCCCAAAATGTGTCCATGTTTTATTTCTGGGTGACTGGGTTATAAGTGAATTAAATTTTCCGTCTTTACATTCTTCTGTGTTTCCTGAATTTTCTACAATGTCTGAAAATGAACCAATAAAGCTTATTAAAAGAGGAACCGGATACTTTGATTCTAAGTGAAAACGTGGTGTGGGGGTCTGCAGTGACCACAGATGCACTCAGAAGCTGGTGAGCGAGATGTGAACCATAGTGATGGGAAGGTGTGTGGGTGGCATTTTAGCCTCTTGTGGGTGAGTTTCCCTATCATCTCTCCCTCCATGACGTCTGCAAAGATCATACCCTGGAGTTAGGCCCCCATGTACAGCCTGGGTGACCAACCCCTGGGACTCGGGGTTCTGGGGATGGAGGAATTTCAGTGTTAAAACTGGGAGAGTCCCAGGCAAACCAGGGAGAGTTGGTCACCCTATGAGCCATTTCAGGGGTACTGGCATCAGACCTAAGTCTCCATAATGGGCCACCTCAGAGGCCCATCGTAATTAAGGGAATCCTGGAGAAAAAAAGGTCAGAAGGAGACTTATTAGTGGCACTCATTCATGTAATCCTTTATCATTTGCAAAGCATTTTCATAAGCGTTACCTCACCTGATCCTCACAAACATTAATGGCAGCAACAAACAACTATTGAGAGTGTATGGACACCCTTCTGCCCACCTCTTTCTCCAACCACTTACTGCTGCAGCAACCAGCTCTGTGCAGGTGTAATCTGCTGATAGCTCAATTGAGCTGCACCAATTATTTCTTGTTTTTTGCCCACGGCACTGGGTAGGTTGCCTGCGGGAACTGCTCTGCACGCATGCATGTGCATCTGGAAGTTCGAGGGATTAACACCCCCATGGGTAACCTTTGAGCAGTGAAGGACAGACGGGAGCTGGTGGATAAATGTTCCCTAATTCTGTCCCTGGGGTGGGCAGTTCTGAAGTCCATTCTCACTGCTTCTGAATGGGGAGGGGGAGTCCCAGCAGGACCAAGCCAAGTGCTGGTCAGCTCAGGACACCCCTTGCGTTGGTTTTCCCTCTATCTCAGTTGCACTGTCCCCAGCTCCTCCCCCATGCCTGGTCCCTCGGATGGCCACCCCAGATGCACCACCAGCACACAAGCTCTGAGCTCGGGCTCAAATGGAAGCTGATGTGCTGAACACATTGGATGCATCAGCCCGTTTCACCTGCATAATAATGCTCTTTGAAGACGGAGCAAAGAGGCTCAGAAACCTGGTTCAACAGGCCTCACTGCAGAAGCCCGACTGTGAACGATCAGGCATTCTACCCTAGGCTGCAAAACAAAGTCTTCTTTGCCCCATTTTACAGAAAATGAAAGCGAGGCTCAGGGGATGCTTGGTGTGTGTACGTGGCAGATTGGCGGCCCCTGGAATCCAGCTTCCTGACTCCCCGTCCA